GAGGTGAGCAGCCAGGAGGGGGGAGGAGGTGAGCAGCCCGGAGGGGTGGAGGAGGTGAGCAGCTGGGACAGGTGGAAGAGGTGAGCAGCCAGGAGGTGGAAGAGGTGAGCATCCAAGAGGGGTGGAGGAGGTAAGAAGCCAGGAGGTGGAAGAGGTGAGATCACACACACACACACACACACACACACACACACACACACACACACACACACGTACCTGATACTAACAGCTGTCACAAAAGTCTCTACCAGAGCCACAACCAGTGAATGTTGTCTCCTTGAGGTGAAGTGCTGTTTTTTGTTGGTTTATCAACTGCATCTAAATCTACTGATATTTTAACAACCATCTGTGTCCCTGCTACCCCACCCAACACCCCAGCCCCTGCAGTCAATGCCACACTGCTCAGACCACAGCCTGGTGTACCACTACCACCAAGTGTAGTTTTTAACTATGTCTCTGCGGTTCTATTTACCAATAAAGACTTGGGAATCCAATGTTGGGGTGAAAACCTACTAGCTCAGAGGGGCTGAGAAGCAACAAGCTGACCTTCCTTTCTGGCCAGAGACCCAGGAAGAAAGTGTCTCTCCAACTGTCCCAAACCAAAAGACTGCAAAAAAATGGGATTTTTCTTAGTGAAATTAGACTCAGCCATGCCCTCAGCTGTGGTTAGGGCAGGTCACCTACCTGCATGGCTGCAAATTCACAGCCTATCTCCACAGCTTCTTCAACTGCTCCAATCTGACCACGTGTTTTTGCACTAAACATTGGTGCCTACACTGTCATTAAATGGAACCAGGAACATTTCTGCTGAAAATGCTCCCCTTACTCCACTCCCCCCCCCTCCCCGCCTCACTGGGTTTGATGAGAGAAAAAGAGGAAGAATTTTCCCAGAGTCCTGTTCTTTTGGAAAGACTGTAACTTGTGTCTCCTTGGTCAGCACTCCAGTTTGAGCTCGTTTGTGAGGCTTGAGCCTGTGACTTCTGGGTCATGAGTTCACAAAGGCTTCCCCTGCAAGCATCCTGTGGACTGTAGAGCAGAGCAGCTCCACAGCTGGCCACCTCTTCTGGAGCCTCCATCCCATGAAGTGGTGTCGCAGGCTCTCAGCTCTGATGTATACAGAGGTGCAAGAGTCACACCAGCTTTCTCTCTCAAGACTATTCTTTGGGCTGTGAACATAAAAGAAGTAAGCTGGGCATTCCAGGGAAGCTCCAACTGTGTATGTGAACAAACATTTTTATTAAAGTACCTTTGAGCTGAGTGTGGTGGCACACACCTGAGATCCCAGCCTTCAAGAGACAGAAGCAGGAGGGTCTTCATGAGTTCAAGATCAGCCAGGGCTACATTGTGAGACTCTGTCCCAAAATAGATAGATAGGTGGGCAGGTAGATAGAAAGATGGATAGATGGATGGATGGATAGATAGATAGATAGATAGATAGATAGATAGATAGATAGATAGATAGATAGATAGATAGACAGACAGACAGACAGACAGACAGACAGACAGACAGACAGACAGACAGATAGATAGATAGATAGATAGATAGATAGATAGATAGATAGATAGACAGACAGACAGACTGGGGAGATGGTTTGGCCAGTACAATGCTTGCTGAACAAGCACAAGGTCACAGATCCTCAGTGCCTATCTAAGCTGAGCATGGCAGTACACATTTGTAGCCCCAGTGTGATGGCAAGTGGAGACAGGAGGATCCCTGGAAATTACTAACCAGCTAATCTAGACACTCTATGAACTTCAACTTTGGTGAAAGACCTTCTCTCCAAAAAAAAAAAAAAAGAAAGAAAGAAAGAAAGAAAGAAAGAAAGAAAGAAAGAAAGAAAGAAAGAAAGAAAGAAAGAAAGAAAGAAGATGAAAAAGGTAAATGATTGAGGAAGGTACTGAGCACTGATCTTTGGTCCTTACAGGAAAATATCCTACTCAGCCACGACAGAAAAGCAGTCACTGTGTCTCCCAGTCAACTGGCATCATCAGGAATGAAGCAACATTGTGGCACAAAATTAAATCCAGAGTGTGCTATCTTTGTGGGAGCTTTGTGGAAACAGGCACTGGACAGAGGGATGGCTAAGAGGGAGGTGGCTCAGCTCCTCCTTCCCCACCCCACTCTGTATCATCTTGGTGGCACCGAAGCCCTGGTGGTGACAATGGCTTTGTTAGGCCCCAACCTGGGAGCAAAACCCACAAGTATAACAAACAACCTGATGAACCCGAAGGCCAGAGCTGAGAGCAACCCTGCGCCTAGCTCCCAAGACAGTCTGTACCAAGAGAAGACGACAACCCTCTGCAGTCTTGCAGTGAAGGCCCCTGAAGCCAGGTCTGTCTCCATGAGTCGGTGATGGCACAAATGGTCGGCATGGTTGAGCCCCCGCAATGTCCCTTTATTGCCTGGATTTGATTTTTTTTTTTGAAACATGGTCTCCTGTAGCCCAGGCTTGTCTCAAACTCACTGTAATAGCTAAGGGTGACCTTGAAATCTTGATCTTAATGCCTTTACTTCTCCAGTGCTGAGACTATTAGTATACGAATTCCACAGAAAAACCCAGTCCAGTTTTGCATTAAAGACCAGCTTTCAGAGCCTTCTAGTCACTGCTGGCCCCTCAGGTGTGTGGTCACTTCCACCTTGGCCTCCCCAGACACGGCTGCATTATCCAGATGGTCTCCCATCTTGGAGCCCCCATGGGAAGAGAAAGTTCCCAACACAAGAGTTACCATAGAGGAGTAACTCTTGATTGTAGGCTCCACCACATAGCACTGAGTGCCGTAGCTGCATGGGGCCTGCTCAGGTCTCTCTTACCTGGAATCTCCAGCGTGGGCCAATCCAATCAAACAGCAGTGACATTCTTTCCCTGTCCACATTTCCCTCACCAAATCACCTTCTCTGTGTGTCACTGGTCTGCATCAGCCCCACCTCCTTAAGAATGCTTGGTGGGGAAGTTGGATATCCTGCAAATGGGGAACCAACATTCCCCACAGAAAGTCTCTCTGGCCCCAACTCCATTGTCTCTGACCTTGGTAGGAGGTCAGGGGATGTCATGACAGAGAACAGCATCACAGGGATCTGGAGAGCTGGTCCAGGAGGACCGGTGGAGACAAGAGAATGGAATGGAGATGGAGAGAGCAAAGAAGCTGTGAAATTTTTCTAGGATCGACCAAGCTATCAACTCTCCCAAGAGCTTGAGTTATAACAGCTGCTGTTAAGTAAGTGTCCTCATGGAGAGTGGAGGCTTTGCTGACACCAGCAGAGAGAAGCTGGCTTCTCTCATCCTGTATGTGCATCCCTGTATGGGACAGCAGAGCTGTCATCTGTCACAGAGACAAGTAGGGTGAGGTGTAAATGTGGGAAGCATCATGTCACAAAGGCCCTTTCAAAGGGACAGTGATGGATGGAGTGGCGCGGCTCCAGGAGCCAGAGACTTCCTTGCAGCATGGACAACAAGCACAGAAAACCCCAAGGCCAGCTCGCCACACGAAAGTCAATACACTCTCCTGCCAGGAAGCCTGCGCTGTGTCTACGCATTCCGAAGCTCGCGCTTCTGCTGTGAAATTATGGTTCTAATTTTAGCTAAGTACAACCACACAGTGAAATCAAAGATCTTTAAGTAGCTTATGCTAAAACTCATGGGCCTGGTGCCCAAACCTTCCCTACATCATAGAGGAAGTCATTGACTACTTTAAAAGATGACTTTCTGGTACTTGCTTCTTTATGGCTACGCAATATACTATTCTGACGCCTTCTGATTAGGGGACGTTTTAGTATAGTTTCTGCTGTGGTAGCCAAGCTGTTCTCTCACATCCCCCCCAGCTCCCTGCACCCTCTTCACACAGAGTCTATATTGGTAAACTGAGGCACAGATTGTTCATGCTGAGCCCAGGGTCCTACTTCCAGCATAACTCCTTTCTCACACAACTTTCACACTGGTTTGTTTTTCCAGGAGTTGAGAGTTGTCTTATATTTTTATTTGTTCAGTTTTCCATGTATTTCCTGCTAAATTTCCAAAAGTTAAGATGGTTGTTAAATGCCTCAAAATTTTTCCAAGTATTCAAATATTTTTATTTTCTGTTGGAGATTTGTGATCCTTCCTCTCCTCACTTGGGTTCGGGGCCCTGCTTCAAGGATCTGATTTTGTAGTTTTCTTCCTTTTTTTTTTGTATAGTACACATTAATTTAAAAGGAAGAGTTCAGGAGAAAAAGAAGAAATACAAACATAGTTTGATGATAGACAGATAGATGGTAGGTAGATTAATCTTGATAGACAGATGATAGGTAGTAGATAGTTAACAGATTATGGAGGAGAGATAATCAATAGGTAAATAGATGGTAGATGATTAATATATAGATAAACAGATGATAGCTAGAAGGTAGATAGTAGGTATTATTTTCATGCTTAAAAATATATTCTCCTTCCCTCTTGACCAATGCTTAGTAATTCTCCTTTACCCTCCTACTTTTCTTTTCCTGTGGGAGCACTGCCATCTGCTTCTACAACCACGTTTTCTAGGTGTCTGGCCCCTGCTTACTCCTCCTCTGCCACATACCTGC